GTGATGGTTAGTATTTCCATTGACAGTCAAACCAAGAAGTTGTTCTTGTAGCCCAAATGAGTAAAGTGTATTAGCATTTGAACCAATGGGTACAGGGTTCGAGTCCCAGTGGAAATACCATCGTCAGTTACTTGAAATGTAGGTGCATCTGGTACTGATCATTCTTAGATAGGACGAAATGTCACGCATTCTGAATTCACTATTAACCCGAATAACTATACACAGTCGAAACGTCTCTACTAGGAGCGGGTATATCAACAAACACGAATCACTTCATTCCTATACTATTAATCACAAAGAGTTAGCTGTGATTATTTTGCTTTATGTTATTCTGTATTTCTGATTGACTGATTGGTTGATAACGGACTAAAATGAAAGTTTTCTCAATAGTTGGTTTGTAAGGATTAGATTTGTTTTTACGAATTGATCACGGATTAATGTCAGTTAGGGGACCAGTTGGACAGCTGTTTCATCAGCCTAGTTTAGGAATCATCGGCATTTCGCACTCACCTCACAGAGGGTTCGAACGAGCTTCCCTTGTAACCGGAAGGTGCTGGGTTCGAACCCCAATGTGGGGTGAGTGTGTACTGACGATGAGTCCCAAACTAGGACGAAACAGATAGCTATCTGGTCCTCTCTAGTGTTTTCAGTGGTTCTCTAACTGATATCGGTCCATAATCAACTCATAGAAAAGTTTCTGTCTGAGTTCGCAACGATGTCTAGCAGGTTTGATTTAGTTATCCTGTGAAGACTGTCATTCACTCAGGAATGTAGGCACATCCATCTAAAGATTATCAAGTGGGAGTAAATACGCATGCTGGATTTCATTTGAGTAGTCATTATCAACCCGATAAGAGGCAATTGTAATATTTAAGAATCTTAATAGAACAAATAAAATTCTCAGTTTGAAACTTATGCATTTGAGGTGTGTGTGTGAAATTTCACTGCAGTTTAATTGAATTTTAGATTTTCCCGTCGATTGATTGGACCGAAGTGCTCGGTCTCAAGTTGACATGTCGGCTTCTTGAGCAGATGCTTCGACGATGTCCGGCCATTTAATTAGTATTTAACTGGTGGATGGTTACTAGCAGCGGAATCCAGGATGCGCATTTTGTCCTATTTGGGACTCGCCAGCTGAAGGTACCTGCATTTCTCAGTGAGTGATGATGTTCCCACCGAGGCTCGAACCCAGTGCCCATGGCTTCAAACGCGAGAGCGTCCCAAATAGGACGAAATGCGCATCCTGGATTCCACTACTAGTCACCATCCACCAATTAAATACTTTCACTGCAGTTTCCTATGGAAACTGAAATTAGTCCGATCACCGTGTATGTATGCGATCTGCTGGGTACCATATATGGAGATCAGTAAAGCAAGCGTAGGTGCATGTAGCTAGTCAGAATTATGGGTGGTTTGAGTTTATTTGGCCCTTTGAACTGAGTAAAACGCGATGCACTACCAAAACGGGCAAAACCATAATCGTGCGTTTAAATTACTTTGATCTGGCTAGCACACAATATTGGTTGATATGAGTGGTGTTCAACTACTCATATCCATCAATCAGTAGTATATGGCGTCATTTATTTATTCTGATGAAATGCTCACTGGTGACTGGCCCTATTCAGGTAGGTAGTTATCTGGAGTTCTAGTGGGAAGTCGTGACCAGTAGGGTAGAGCAGGTCGGGTGTGAGGACAAATACTCGCCACGGAAGACATTGTCTAGTGGTCGCTCCATGTCGTGAATTGGCAGAAGTTGGAATTCATGGACTGGCCATTAGATAGGCGGATCCCAGTGAGTGGCTTAATGGTCTACAAGCGAGCTCGCCTTGTAATCAGAAGGTCATGTGTTCGAACCCCCTGTTGGGTGGGTAAGTACTGCTGCAGAGTTCCAAACTAGGCTGACGAAACAGCTGTCCAGTACTCCCTGGCTGGTTTTCCAATGGTTCTCTAACTAATGTCAGCTCATGATGAAATCCCGGAACTATACACATCTGAATCAGACACATGCTAAGGAGATCGTCGAGTAGCATCACACACTGGGCCCTTCTGCGGAACCCGAATGGTAAACGAAGAATTTGGTGTGTGGCGGAGTTTGTGCGAGGAGGAGAAGAGAGACTCTGAGAAATCGTGGGTCCGGCTAAAGAGGACAGCAGAAAATACGGGAAAATGGAACAAAAATCTGGATACATTACGCTGATGATACATCTGTAATAATTGAAAGAAATGTTGGGGAATATACCCACAAATCAATAAACAACACATTTGAAGACATGAAATTCACAAGATATGAAGAAGAATTAGATGACAACAAAATTCCACCCTTAGATGTTTTAATCAGGAGAACTAACACAGGAAATTTAGAAACACAATTATACAGAAAATCAAAGCACACAGACCAAATACCCAACTATACAAGCAATAACCCAACTACCCACAAAAGAAACTGTGTGCAAACATTGTTTAAAAGGGTTCAGATACACTGTAGCACTTTAATGTTGAAGAGAATGGAGGAAATATGCCTACCAACCGACAGTCTTCAAAAAGAATGGATATCCTCACCACAATTTCATCAAAAACTGTTTAAACTAAAGTCATAATACCAACAACAAGCTGACATCAAAGACCATAAGAAAATTAATCCAACGATATACAAAAAAGTATCTCTGAAATAACAGTTAGAATATTGAAACCGTTTGAAATAGATATGGCACACGAACCAACCAGCCAGCACAATCACTTCATTCGATATTGTGCAAACCAAAAGATTCAACAGAAAAAGAAGATAAAATTAAAACCATTTACAAAATAAATTGTATGAACTGTAAGAGACATTACATCGGCCAAAGTGGGCGTCCCCTTCGAATCAGAATCCAAGAACACAAATTGGCTGTGAAAAGACATGATATATATTCTTTCATATCAATGCATTTGTATCCTTATGGACACCAATTTGATGATTGGGATAATGAAGAAATTTTAAATAGAGGAAACACCAAATATGCAGTCAGGGAGTTTCTAGAAGCCTGGTACACAAGTGAATCAGCCAGCAATTAACAAACCCATTATAAATTGATTAAAAATGCCCATTAAAATTTTTCAAAAGAATGGTTACTGAAAAAAGATATTCTTTTCGATAACTTCATCATCAGCTTCTACAGCTATATTACACATTATTATAAGCCAGATTTACCAGCTAATAAAAGGTAAATCATCACATGACAAGAAAGTTCGAGTTCTAAGTCAATAAAAATAATCAATAAAGAAGTAAATTAACAACCAGTCTCAACAGTGGTCGCTAATAGATACCACTGCATCATTCATGGAGAATTAAAGTAAGTTCATTTCACATACCAAAATCTGCGCTGGCTGAACATGTTGTCTAGAAGGATGATGAAAGCTTAGCAATTAAATCAACCAGCTGAGGGAACAAAACTAATTCAAAAGTGGAGATGTGCTCTTGAAGCCCTGTTATGTTCCACTCAGAACCCAAGAGAACATTAATAATAATAATAACAATAATAGTAATGTGGTTTCCTGTAAAAAATCAATACTTTTGAGACCAATGCCAACTAGAAGTTTTCATGAAATTCGCTTCATCACAATAAAATGTCGGCTAAAAGTTATCCTCTAAACTTCCTGGAGTATGTCTCAGATAAAACAATATCGCTTCAGTTGATATATTATCCTTTATTACATTGTGACAGCAAAAGGCAAAAAACGGAAGCTAGGGTACATTTTTCACTAATCAAACAGCTGTTTAGATATATGTATACATATATATCCAACACCTGTACGACAATGTTGCATGCCAAGTAATCCACAACGGGAAACTCACAGAATCCTTCGAAGTGAGAACTGGAGTAAGACAAGGCCACCTACTATCGCCAATGATTTTCCTGATTGCAGTAGATTGGATAATGCGACAGACAATGGGCGATGAGGAAACAGGCATAAAATGGACCCACACAACAGCAAACTTGGAGGATCTGTACTTCGCCGATGATATATTTCTGATTTCCCACAAACTGGAAGATATGCAAGTGAAAAGCAACAAGTTGGCAGAAGAAGCATCCAGAGAAGATAGGACTTCAGGTGAACATAGAGAAAACAGAGGTGATGAAGATTCCTGGGCAACACCACGGACAGCAACAACATAGCAACAGACAACAATCAGCATAAATGGGGGGAACCTGAAAGAAACAACCTCTTTTACCTACCTGGGAAGCATTGTTTCAACTACAGACGGACGGAACTGACAAGGATATCAAAGCGAGAATCAGAAAAGCAAGACAGGCTTTCACTACTCTCAAGTCCGTGTCGAGGTCAACAGCACTCAGCATCAAAAATAAGATCCGGATTTTCAACTCCAATGTGAAGTCAGTGCTACTTACTAAACGGATCAGAGACTTGCACTGCGCGTCATAAAGAGCATCTCAAACAAACTACAGACCTTCATCAACAGCTAGCTGTCTTCACTCAATACTAATCAAGATCAGATGGCCAGAAAAGATCAGCAACAGTGAGGGATCTCTGTGAGCGAACCAAGGCAGCAGGAACCGATTGTGAAACAAATATGCAGGAAGAAATGGAGATGGATTGGCAATCCATACTCTGAGGAAACCATCAAGTGACATCACAAGCCAGGTAATCACTTGAGTGGAACCCGAAAGGGAAGAGGCGAGTTGGTCGTCAGTGTGAGGGTGACTTAGAGGAGGTCGTGTGAAGGGGAGATGAAAGCGTGTGGGCAGACTTGGAGCCAGGTGAAAAGGTTGGCAGAGAACCGAACGCAATGGAGACGTGGAGTTGAAGCCCTATGTTCGTCCAGGAATTAAAGGAAACAATAATAATAATGTATACAGTTTATATTCGTTAATCAATCACTGAACGTGTGATTTTGGTTTACATTAAACGACATGAAATGGAATGTGCAAATATATATAGTATCCTGTAGTATCTAGTGCGTCGGTGGCACAGCGGTTGAGTGCTCACCAACCACGCAGGTGGTCCGGGATTCGATCGCCGGCCACCAACGCACTCCTTTACCTCGGTAAGCCAATAATAAGACCGGTAAAAATGGACGGTTGAGCATGAGGCTAGCAATCCCATCCTGTAAAAATAATCACCACTGCTACCGAAACTTCAAAGCTCTACCTTGAGGCTTTATGTTCCACTGGGAATGTAAACGAATAGAAAAAATCCTGTTGCTAATGCAGTATTGAACCATGGAATATGTAAGAATAATATTCCGTTGGAACCCATTGTTGGCCGTATCACAGCACCACAAAATTACTCAAAGATTTTGTACAAGGAGTGAATACCTTACGATAAGATCCTTGCTGATAATTCTGTGTTGTGTAGAAGCGCATTCTCCACAATAAAGCCATTATTATTATTATTATTACTGTTATTAACAGCAAGGTTTCAGATAACAGAGGAGACTTCTACCTCAGGTGGATGATTTTAATGTGGCTGTTTTCTTTTTTTAATTGGATAGCTTAATCGCTAACCTTTCATTGTCCTCCTATACAGCATCTTCAGTGTAGACTTCAACATGAAGTAAGCTTCCAGAATTCTGCATGAATTTGCCAGCCATCTCCATTGTTTACCTACCATTGAATGTGGTACACCAGGGAATTTCTAGAAGCCTGACACTTAGATGTAACTGTAGGCAATCAACACATTGACCGAAATAATAATGTTTACAAATCAATAAAAGAGAAGTGACATGAACAAACGATTAGCAAAATAATCAATGTTAATATAATTGAAACATAGGGTTATTAGGAGAGAAAGCTGATAAAACTCACGAAGAATTTTTGGAAGCTCACTTCATTATTGAAGTTTGCGCTCAAGACGATGTCTAAAGAGAACAATAAAAGCTTAGCGAATAAATCATTCAGTCGAGCTCAGAGAACGCGACCACATCAAGAACATGATCTACAGTATTTCGAGGCTTCTCTTTACAGTTTACAATTTATTTAGGATAGTAGGCTATATGCCTGTGTTAATCCTTTCGATTTGTTGCACACAAGAGGTCCAATCTCGCCTTGAATAAATCAACGGATGGCGCTGATACGACTTGTTCCGGTAGGGAGTTCCAATGGTCCACAATTCGATGCGAAAAACGGATCTCCAGACGCAGACGATTCGACCGTGGTTTTTGAACTTTGAGGTAATGTCCTCGCAATTGGTTGGTGCTAGAAGGAAGAAATAAATTAGATAAATTTGCTCCAAAATCATTTCTTAGGATACGGTATGCTAGTATTAGGTCCCCCCTAAGTCGTCTGTATGACAATGGAAATAAACCCAGTCGACTTAACTTCTCCTCATATGAGAGGGTTGAGAACCCCTTTATTAGCTTAGTTCCTACTCTTTGCACCCTTTCTAATAAGCCTACTTCGTATTTGAAACAAGGACTCGCTGCCTGGAACCCATATTCCAAATGAGGTCTGATATAAGTCGGATATAATATACGAAATATTTCAGCGTCAAAATTCGCAAAAGCCTTGCGTATGGCCCATAATATTCGAAAACCCTTAGTGGCTGCAGCTCTACAGTTTGTTGCTGTTTTCAAGTCATGCTGCACAACCACTCCAAAGTCCTTGTACTCAGTGACCGCTGGGAGAGTAATGCCATTCATTGAGTAATTGTGCACGTGACTGTGAGATACATGCATAACTACACTCTTGCTTAAGTTAATCTCCAAGGCCCAGTGCTTACACCAATCACTTAACAAGTTTAAATCTTCCTGCAAAGCAAGTTGATCACTGTCATCGTGTAAAGCCCTCCATATCTTGATGTCATCAGTAAACAGTAAGCAGGATGACTTAACTACCGATGGAATCTCATTAACATAAGTCAGGAAAAGAAGTGGGCCTAGAATTTTACCCTGAGGAACGCCACTCTTAACAGATTCCCATGTTGATAAAACCCCGTTAACTCGTACTCTTTGTCTTCCGTCCTTTAGAAAGCCTCCAATCCAGTCGGCAACCACTTAATTGATTCCCAGACTACCCAACTTTACTAGAAGACCTGAATGAGAAACCCTGTCAAACGCCTTGCTAAGGTCGATGAATATGGCATCCACCGGTATATTAGCATCAGCTGAGCTTGCCCAACTTTCTCTGGCCAAAAGAAGGTTGGTCAAGCAAGAATGACCTGCTCTAAAACCATGCTGTTCCACAGCGAAAAGTTTGTTCCCTTCAATGAACTGAATGATAGAATCACGAATTATTCTTTCTAGTAGTTTAACAACAATACTGGTCAAACTAACAGGACGATAGTTCTGAACTAAGTTTCTAGATCCGGTTTTGAAGACCGGACTAATGATGGCATCTTTCCAGTCTCTTGGACATTTAGATTGGTCCAGAGACATATTGAAGATTACCGACAATGGCTCGGCTATGTTTTCAGCCAATGCTGTTAATATACGTGGGTGAAGTTCATCAGGGCCACTGGACTTACCAGGATTGAGCCTTAGAAGCCACTTTAGGACAGTATCCTTTCCAATGTATAAGGGTGCCATTTTCAAGTTACCTTCTGGAAAAGTTACAAAGCTGTTATCAATATTATCAGAGAATACTTGACTAAAGTGCTTGGACAAAGCCTCAGCCTTAGTCAAGTTATCCTCAGCCATGTTTGTCTGGTCATCTTCAAGCATAAGAGGTGGGATAGCATCACTCTTACGTGTTCTTCTCTTGATATATGCGAAGAGTCATTTCGGGCAGCCTGGTGAACTTTTAACTAACTGGGTTTCGTAAGCTATCCTTGACTGGTGAATCAAAGTTTTACACTGGTTTCTGGTTTCACAGTATTTCAGCCGGAACTGCTGTAGCCCAGTAGAAACAAGAGATTCCAGAACCTTTTTCTCCGTCTTAGGAGTGTTATAGCTTGTCTATTTATCCATGGTGGCAGATTTGTTAACCTTTTAGGAACCCTCCAGGGAATGAAATTAGTGGTAACCCTCTCAAGTGTATTCTTAAATCTATCCCATTCATCTTCAATGAATGAAACAATATTGACTGACCAGTCGGCAGTTGAAGTACGCTCCTTTATAGCGACTATGTCAGCATGCCAAACACTAGGTCGGGAGTTGGGTTGAAAACTGACTAAATTGCCAACCCTTAAGTTAAAATCTAACACCCCATGATCACTGTTTGCCAGAGGTGGATGAATAACTAGACCATCCACGTCGTCGTTGTCATGAGTAAGCACTAAATCCAGCAAGGTAGATCCTTGGGTAGAACCGAATCTTGTACTACCTAAGACATGTTGTGTCAGGGCATTTTCCATGGTAGTCAAGAGTAACCGGCTGTCAAACTTATTAGTGGATCATTGATATAAGAATAAAACTTGGGCACTGTGGTAGAGTGTAATTCCATTATGGGTAAATTTTATTTTGATAGAGTCTCACAGTGTTATACAGTAATATTTACTGATTTATTTATTATCAGTAAATATTACTGTATAACACTGTGAGACTCTATCAAAATAAAATTTACCCATAATGGAATTATTAGTGGATCCTGAAGATGTGCCAGCTACCCAGTCTATATGATGTGCACTAAAGTCACCTAGAATAAGACAGCTACTGTGTTTACTCCATTGTTTGAGGTGATCTAAGATAAAGTCATCACACTGACAATAAGGATTTCTATGCAGAACTCCAATGAGTAGAGTGCCAGTTGCAAAGCTTACTTCACAGCTAATAGCCTCACTTGTCTCACTGTCATGCGCTTCAGATTTCACGGAACGAACATGTAGGGAGTTTTTCATGTACAGAGCAACCCCGCCACCTCCACGACCCTTAACCCTGTCGCTGCACAAGCAACTAAATCCACATACTCAGGGGTGTCATCTAATCCAGAAACCAGCCATGTTTCAGTAATGGCCACAATACCTTGGCTAAGGTCTTCCACTAATACACCTAGCTCATGAAATTTGTTATCGATACTACGTATATTAGTGTACACTACATTCAGGCTTCCTATGCGGTCCGGCTTATCCACACAGGTCTTGGAAGCATACGTTTCCAAGACCTGACTATTTGAAAACCCACCAGTTTAAGCTTAGTCTCACCATTTCTACGTCTTGTTTAAAGCTGGGACAAAACTTCTTTTCGTTTAAGTCTGTCTTCAAGAGATAGATCAGGTCTGACTGAAATTCCTGACCCGGCAAGGTTGTGTACATTAGCCAGTAGATGATTCCGTTCATCAGGAGAACCTAAGACTACTTTAAGCAATCTACGCTGATTAGAACATTCATCATCTCTTTTGCCTATTCTAATCACCTTTTTAATCGATACTCCAGGGAAATTCGCTGGGAGCATATTCCTTATAATACTACTCACTAATTGAAGGTCGTGATCGTGCCTTTTCACGGGATCAGATTCTTTGGACTCTTTTAGATTTCCAACAATTATGTTAGAGTCTAAGGAGAGCTTGTCTTATTTAGCAGTGGCAACGTCTTTCCTCACCACTATTGATGCAGCCTGGCTACAGGTGACAGACGTTTGCCTACCATCAATATTATTATGTTTCTTCCGATTGCTTATTTTCGTTACCCACTGATCATCTGCTAAAAGCTGGAAAAGCGGCAGGACCAGATGGAATCCCAGCAGAAGCATTGAAAACGGACCCGGAGACAACAGCGGACTTGATGACGCCGCTACTGAAGAAGGTGTGGAAAGAAGGCAAAGTACCCGAGGATTGGAAGAAAGGATACTTATTCAAACTACCAAAGAAAGGAGACCTAAGTCAATGCAAGAACTGGCGCGGAATTATGCTCCTGTCCATCCCAAGCAAAATACTAAGCCGCATCATCCTGGAGAGAATCAAACACGCTGCCCTGGATGAAAAACTTCGACCGGAACAGGCTGGATTCAGGAGGAAAAAGTCATGCATTGACCAGATCGCCACATTACGGATCATCATTGAGCAAAGCTTAGAGTGGCAGTCACCTCTCTGTCTCAACTTCATCGACTTTGAAAAGGCCTTTGACAGCG